AGTTTCTCTTATTATTCTTTCACCTTTTGTAAACTACATCTCAAATATTTATCCTTAATTTAATTATTTTGTAATTGTCCGCCTCGATTAGCTTTTGCTACCTGCGGACAGATTGTTATTGTAAATATTTATAGCTATATTAAAATTGTTGTTGTTGTTGTTGTTGTTGTTGTTGTTGTTGTTGTTGTTGTTGTTGTTGTAGACATATATTAGTGGAAAAGTTGACACTAAGGACGCGCACGAAGAATACTTATTCTTTAAATCTGTAAATGCTCTAATAAATGAATTTAGTTAATTATCGATCGCTTAATAAATACATATTATGCATGAATTTTCGTAAAAAATATGAATAACTGTAGTCGTGTAGACAAATAAATGTTTTATAACATGGCATACGAGTGTGTTGTCTCTATTCCTGTTCAGATTTTTGTTGCGTAAAGATGGCTCATTTGGATATCATCTATGATAATTAAAAAGAAGCGAAATTGATATTGACTGGCAAACCTTATCGTTTCATATTAATTAAAACTATACTTGACAAACACGAAAATTTATTTCGAGGAATGTACATTTCAGATTTTGAACCGCTCTACAGAGAGATTTGTGTTAAAAACTATGGACGACTCTTTGCTTATTTAGCTGTTGTCAGTTTGCATTGTTACAGTGAAGATAATATTCGTCGAAACGTACGAAGAGCTATTGGGGCATTTCAAAACATATACATTCCAAAATACAAACGAGTCAATAAACGGAAAATTTTCATAATAACTACTCTCACTTTGATCGCTATATATGTGAGTCTATAACGACTGTTTTGTTCACTTCGCTCAAACCTTTGAGGTGGAAGGATGATGCCTTGCTGTGGTAAAAGTCTTCCAGAGATTTCCCTCCGAAATATTTTTCGAAAAGTGCGTTGCATTTCTGCTTGTTGTGGCAGTAAAATTATAATACAGGACTCAGATATTGATGGCGGAAAAATATTTAGCCGAGCTGTATTACAATCCCGAAAGTCCCGCAAGCTTTGGTGGCGTCGATTCTATATATCGTCTATTGAGCAACTAACAAAAGCACTCAATGCCGGCATGCGAGGATAAACTGTGTTTCTTTCGTTGTTTGGCCCTACACCGGGGTTGTCACCCCAAAAATTTAGAACGTGATACTCAACATTTTTATGAACAATATTCAGAAGATGATGATTTTGACGGTGTGACACTCGAAGACCTCCCAGAGTTGGAAAAGTTGTTCGAGTTGAACATTTACATGTATCGCCTTACAGAGCTACATGACGAAGATGACGATACGACCTCCATTGTGGCTCAACTCATACAGCGCTCCCATCGTAGATATACCAATTCGATGTATCTGAACCTCTACGGTAGTCACTTCAGCTACATTAAGAATTTGGCCATGTACTCCAAGTCCTACTGTTGTTCCAAGTGTGACAAGATGTGGAAAACGGCAAAAGCCTTGAACAAGCACGAGCGAACATGTGAAGCAACTATACGTCACATCTTCCCTCGTGGTGCCTACAAAGTTCCACAAACCATCTTCGATTTGTTGGCCGACGAGGGAATCGAGATCCCTGAAGATCTAAAATACTTCCCTTATCGTGCCACCTTTGACTTTGAGTGTTATTTCAAACGTGAAACCGAACATCCACGAAATACAGCAAAGTTAACGTGGGAAGCCGAACATATCCAATTGAGTATCTCTGTATGTTCGAACGTCCCTGGTTATGATCAACCCAAATGCTTCGTATCGTCTGGTAGTACAAGTGAAATGATCCAACAGTTCGTGGAATATTTGGTTGAGGTCAGCCAAGAAAGCTATGGATTGTTGCTGGACCAATTCTCTGACGTTTTTCGTCAAATTGATGAACGGGTCAATGAGGTGTAATTCACACGTATTAGATTCTTAGTAAGATTTCTTATCCTTAATATTTTTTTTCTTATATCTTTAGGTGGGGGAAAACGAGGTTATGGAAGTTGCCGCGGGGGAGGATAATGAGGTAAATTATAGGAAGGTTATATTTGCACTTATATTCTTTATATTCTAATATATCTTATGTTTTAGCAAAATACAGAGGAACGGCTGATTGAGGATATGGTGGGATGTTTGATGGGGCTGAATAGTGAGGTATATAACATGAAGTTTGAACTCAGCAGTGGTCTTTCCTGTGCTTACCATATGTGTACCTTTTAGGTGAGTGAAGATGAAGACGAAGTGAATAAAGATAAAGTCGTTGAAGAGAGAGTAAGTATCACCCTCATGATCCATTTTAGCGATTGTTATATAGATTAGTAGGGATGTGTAAGTATCTTGCTTTTTACTTATGACACCTTTTCATTTATTTAGGATGTGGTCCATCCTCTGCTCAAACTCCAAGATAAATTGTCAGAATACTTACAAGAGCTACCAATTATTGGGTTCAACTCTGGTAAATATGATATTAACGCTGCGAAAAACCCCTTCTTTTCGCATCTCGTCAAACACGAACAAGTTAAGTTTGTGATAAAATTTCTCGATATCACAAACTATCTGGCTTCGGGATTTAGTTACGAACAGTTTCTCAAAGCGTACGAGTGCTCCCAGACCAAAGGCTACTTCCCGTACGAGTGGGTCGACTCCCTCGACAAACTCAATCATTGCTCCTTACCACCACGCGAAACCTTCCATTCCACTCTATCCGGAACCGACATCACCGAGGAACAGTATGAGTATTGCCAGGGTGTATGGAACGAACAGAATATGACAACTTTCCGCGATTTTCTCGTGTGGTATAACAACCTTGAAGTAGTCCCCTTCCTTGAAGCAATTGATAAAATGAGCAATTTCTGGCAAGAAAGGAACATTGATATGTTTAAGGACGGTGTGAGTGTGCCTGGCTTAACTATGGAATATTTATTTTCAAACATTCCAGGCACCTACTTCTCCTTGTTCAGCGAGAAGGACAAGGATATGTATTATTCAATGAAGGATAATAACGTAGGGGGCCCCAGCATTATCTTTAACAGGTACCACGAGAAAGAGAAATCATCCATACGGAAGGAAGAAATGCGAGCCAGAGGAAAAAAATCGAAACCCTGCAAGAATGTAGTTGGTTACGATGCCAATACGCTTTACTTGTGGGCCATCATGCAAGACATGCCAACTGGACAGTACACAAGACGGTTAGAGGAGGACGGGTTTAAGAAACGATGGAGTGGAAAAATGGCGATCGAATGGTT